AATTCATTCTAACAAAAATTTTATTATATAGGGGATGATCTTCTGGGACAATAGGTGAACCACAAGTATATACAAATGTTTCCATAGCCATTTGCAATGATTCAAAGTCAAAAAAACAAAATCACGAACCCTTGCAGCAACTAAAATTCCATTTGGAGCAAGTTCTTAACATTCGTGACGGTAGTATTATGTCCATATAGTGAAGTAAAATCTGATAGTGATCAGGATCTAAATCAATAATTTGTTTTTCATTTAAAAAAAACAATTTGTAAATAAAAAAAATTCTTTTAAACGAGAAATATTAAAAATTTACTACTTGAAATTTGCGAATCTGGTATATAATGTAATTGATTAAAAATTTCTTGATGGTAATCGAATATGACTACAAATTGTTTTCACATTTTTTAATCTTAAACAATTGTGTAAACAAATATTTAAAATGTTATGCAATTATACTTGAAATGAATATTCTCGAATTAAACAGTGTGAGACTTGAAAAATGACACGATATAACAAATAAGATCACTCCCAGAAGTTATATGTATACCTCCAAACCACCCAAGTTTTCAGATCCTTAAAAGCTCAATGATATGATTATAAAGAAGTTTATTCGAGTATTTGACCCTTGTGCAGGTGGAAGATGTATGTCTGTAGCATTGTTCATTAAAATATTAAACGCATTTTTGTGATTTTCTATTTGAGAAATATTGGTATTATTATTTTCATCATTCCACGTAAATCTTAATGCACTGCCTTTAAGATATTTAATATTTCCAAATCTTCTTTGAATTCCTTTTGATACTATGTGCCAATCATTTGATTTTTCTCTTTGGAAGTCAACTGATATATTTGCATTTGGTATATCATTAATAGAAAGCGTTATCTTTAAAAGATCAGATAATAAACCAGGAGGTTTAATACTAGTTGCTGAAGACAATTTGTTTACCATTTTGGTATACAGAAACTAACAGATATAATTTCATTTCAGCGCAACCTTTATCTTAAAGAAGAAAATATACGTGTTTTTTTTAAAAAAAAAATTTAATGTTGCACATATTTATTTTCAAATTTTGCATTTTCGATGGGGGGATACATTTACTTTATAAAAATTTTTACTTTTTTGGATACATATATAAATCACAAAAATTTTGAAAGGATTTGTTAAACATAGTTGTAAATTGGTACGGCCCTTAACATAACCTTTCTCGACTAAGAGTTTCGGAAACATCAACCGATTTTTTACGTAAAATGATTTCGATCGTATGTTTTTATTGTGTTCACTATCATATTCGATAAATGGATATTAGTCGACCAATCAAAAACAGAGAAATTTTTTTAAAAAAAAATTATATAATGGTTAATTTAATCGGGTAACCAATTCTTATCGATCAACGAAAAAATAATTTAGAAAGGGAATGTCTTTAATTGTTTATGTCCTTAAATTAACGCCTTATTCAGGACAGGCAGGAGAATTACATCCTATAGCTTCTCTATTTATAACATTTATTTTATTAACTGTTGGTTATTTAATGGGCAATTCATTTTTGCACAAACTATTAGGACGTAACAAATTTTTACCACAAGGAAAGGTAGGATCAATCATTTCAAAATTCTGGTTATTTTCATTTATAAAATTCTTAATTTTTGATATATTTAGCACGCGTATGTGACTGGAGGAAGTAATGGACTTGGTAGAGCTATAGCCAAGTTGTTAGCTTCGAAAGGCGCTCACGTAACCATAGTTGCGCGTGGTAAAGAGGATTTAAAAACAGCTCTCGAAGAAATTAAAAACGTAAGTACGCGTTGCTTATTGGTATAAATTGATTTAACATGAATTTTTAAACCTTTTTATTGTTAAACGAAGGCTGCAAAGGAACGTGAAGAGTATAAAAATTTGATATTTACTGCAATTTCAGCAGACCTTACCAAAAAGGATGAATCCTTTCGTGCATTAAATGAAGCTTGTGAGAAACATAATGGCAAAGCTCCCGATTTTATTATTTGCTGTGCTGGTAATTTTATAATTCTGATCTCGATTTTACTTTAACTCTTTTATGTACTAATGAATATATATATTTTTCATTAAAAAGGATCTTGCAAGCCTGGAATATTTATAGAGCAAGATATTTCAATATTTGAAAATAGTATGCAACTCAATTATTTCGGAACCTTATATACCATTCATGTATGTGAATTATATATATATATATATATATTTTTGGTCGATGTGTAAACAATTCCTATTTTATGATGTAGGATGGTGTAAAACGTATGGTAGAACAGGGGATTAAGGGAAAAGTTGTTTTGGTCAGTTCGATCTTAGGATTAATTAGTTTCATTGGATTTTCTCAATACAGTCCGACAAAATATGCTATAAAAGGTATCTCAATTTTTGATGAAGAAATTATAATTTTCATTTGTATTTTTATTAACTCGATTTCTTCATAGGTTTGGCCGAAACTTTACGCAATGAGTTGATACTTTATGATATTGGTGTTCATTGTTATTTTCCTGGCACGATTGATAGCCCTGGTCTCAAGGAGGAGGTAAATGAAATGAGTACTTTATCGGTTTGGAGGTAATTGATTGTATTTTTTTTTAAATTAGTAATTAAATTCCTCCCCATCCACCTCCAGAACAAAACCAAACCAAAAATATCCAGTGATATTGAAGGTAGTAATACAGAGTTAAAGCCAGATGAAGCTGCTAAAATTTTATATAAATGTAGGAGACTATTTTTTATTTTTTGCCTCAAATCTATTTTTAATATTTCTTAAAGTTAATATCCAACATATTTATTTATTTTTATAAGCTCTTTGCAAAGGAGAATTTTTTATCACCTCAGATTTTGGAGGTGATCTCTGCAGAGCTGCAAATAAAGGTAAAGTCATAAAACAAAATAATTTTTAATGAATAGGTTAATTAATTTACATCGTTGTATGAATCTTACAGGTCCTGTCACTCCATCTAATAATTTTGTTGTTGATCATTTGCTCTGTAATCTTGCATGGGTAAGTAAAAAAAGATTTTTTTACTTGTCGATGTCTCGTATTATTAATTATTAACTTTTTTTTTTAAAAAAAATGTAGATTGGCGGGATTCCTTTTCGATACTTTATAGATAAGAAGGTCAAAGATAGCAGAGCTTAACGTCTAAATTAAAAATAATTCATAAGATCGACTATAGTTTGTCGACTAATTAATTAGACAATTACAATTTTGACTTATTTAAGCCTCTAGTAGTTAATATATTCATTATTTATTATGATATTTAAGACATCTTAAATTAATATTTTTTAAAAAAAAAAAATTTAAAAATAATAAATTATTACTTTAACAAAAAATTCTATTTGTCATTTCATTTCATTTTTTTTTTTTTTTTATTATAAACATATATTAATTATTCTTAACCAGATTGTTCTAACAATTAAATATAGTTAAATTTTGACAAAAAAAAAAATATTGAATAAAATGTATAATGAATAAATGACTTACTCTTCTTTTTCTTTTTTCCAGAATCTTCGCTTTTTTTCCTTCTTTTTCCCATTTGATCTATAACCATAGGTTGTGATGAAGACTGGCTAGGTGACTGCTAGGTTAATATAAAATAAATTCAATTATTCCAATTTTTTTTTTTTTTAAAAAAAACAACTAATTATCACACTTGACACATACATCGCTCATTTCACCAGGAGTACCACTAATTAACAAATCGTTTAATTCATTAATAGCTAATGTATTATCTTCTTCAGTTTGAATAATAGCCTGAGATAATTGCTGATGCATTTTCATCGTAACATTATTAATAGTTCTTTCGATGGAACTATGAAATTCTATTAATTCTTTTGGGTCTTGAATTTTACTTCCTTTTGGGGAGATGAAAAAAAATATATTTTCTCTCGGTTAATTACTTTTAGAATAGTTGAATTTATTTAATAAGTTAATAGACATACTACGCAATGCAGAATTAGAATCGGCTTCCCCTTTCCATGTATACCCTGTTGCTGGATGAAATTCTACTTCTTGGTGAGCAGTATTAAAGGCAATATGTAAATGATGTAAACTTGTCAGCTATATCATGAATTATTTTTTTTTCAAAAATAATAAGAAGTTAATTATTATTTCAAGTCAAAGAAAAAGGAAAAGATAACCTTATAACTTACTATACGACTCCCTATGACTGAATATAAATCAGGTGCCTGATAAATATTATTGTTCAAAATGTAATATGTAGCAATAGGGCTAGCTAAATAAACAAAAAGGAGGAAAAAGAAGAATGTTGGTGATAAAATCTTTTTTTTTTTTAAAAAAAAAAAAAAACAAAGTATTTGTCAAGTATGCAAATATGGTAAAAGAATCAAAATTAAATTATTTACTATGAACTTCATCTGTTCTATTTTGTTTTCTAATTACCCATAAAACTGGTGGTTTTTGAAAAATTACTTGAAATTCAATTCCAACCATTTTGCTATATATAATAAAGAAATTTAGAAATCGATATATATATATATACACAGAAAATAAACGCGTAAATAATAGTTACTTCAAAAATGTCTTAAATTCTTTAAGGTCATTATATTGCGTTTGCATTTTTAAGGTTGCATTATTACATTGAGCATCCCAAAATGGTGATTCGGCAAAATAATCCAGAACATTATCGTCATTAAGTCCCTCTGGTCTCTATTACATTCAAAGGATGATAACAACGATTAAATTATATTTCGCGTCTATTAAAGTATAACTATTTCATACCTCTTGAATCCATTCAACACTTCTCCAAGAAATTGTTGCAAGGTCTTCGTCCATGATTGTTGCGATAAAAATGACAGTATTTCGTTTTTTTCAAAAAAAAAAAAAAAAAAAAAAGAAAAGGTAGTACGTTGGCTAATAGGTACGTTTACGAACTTTTAGCATTATCTACACCGCCGTCACTTTCATTAGAAGCTCAAATCCAAGAACTTGTAGTTTGGGGGCGAGTTTAGAGAACTAACATTTTATCTACCAATCAAATTCAAAAATTTAAGAAAAGCCAATACGTTGTCACGGGACTCGCATGAATTTATTTGTAAATTAGAATAATTTAATTTATTCATACAAAATACGTGTATACGATCATTTCTTTTAATTAGACATAAATAAAGTTAAACAATAATAATTATTATAAACTTAATACAAATTAAAATATTGAATATCAAAATGTCCAAGAATTATGGTAAGCCAAATAATTTCACAGAAAATAATGAACTTTTTCCTAATGATAAAAAGTAATTAGAAAAAATTATTAAAATTTACAAGTATATATTTGTTATAACATACTTTCTTCTCTATAGACAGTTGTTGTGTAGGACCATCCCTCTCATTTTCAGGTGCTGCGTCAAACACATTAAAAAATCTTTGCCCATCTACACCAACTTCCAAAATTGAAGCCATGTTTCCACAACGATAACAATAATTTGGCGCAGACCATACAGTTGATAAACGATCATCGTAGAGAACCTGCACGCGAGGAACCGTATATTAAAAAATTTTTGTATATACAACCTTAAAAATAAAACAAAAAAAGTTTACCTGATATCCTTCCATACAAAGTTGATGCGCGCGAAGAATATGTTCCATCTTATTTATCTCAAGAAATTTTTTGACAACCAATCCTCCAAAGGTGTAACCAGCACCTCTTAAAATTGACAAGTAAATGATAATTATCGAAAAAAATTATAAAATATGAATAATAGAGAGGAGAAAAATATTTTTTTATTTTTTTTAACAAAAACCTTGGTGAAATGGAAAATTCTTCCTTGTCTGGATCAGGATCGGACCAAACCAAGTCTGCCATTGGGCCTTCGTGTGGAATCTCTAAAGTTTATTACCCGAATGAATTAGTTAATTATAATTTGTCTCGCACATGATAAATACAAAATTGTACCTCTGTATCTATCCAGAATTTTTATTTGATCGATGCTATGTATTGATGGAGATAGCCCTATTTTTAATTAAAGAGTGGATGATATTAATACTCTTGTATGTAACATATATGTTTGAAAATCAAAGAATCCAACCTCCGTGTACGCAGAAGATCCTATCGTCAATTACCACTGATAACGTGAGATAATCAAACATATCAGTAAAGTAGTGCCAAACGTTTGTCGAACCATATTTTCTTACGCATTCAGTATAAAATCCGTAGGTCTGTTAAAAATTATATGATTAAATTATGAACAACAAGACAGAAATAAAATCGAAATTGAAAATACCTGAGTTACTGCTCTTGATTCATGATTTCCTCGAACCAGTTGAACTCTATGAGGATAACGTAATTTCAGGCAAGTCAACAGAGATATCGTTTCCACGCTAAAAAGTCCCCTATCCACATAGTCGCCTGCAGGGAAACCGAACAAGTCGATGATTTGTTTATGAACTTTCGGCTGTACCACTTTTAAATACCTCGTTTAATGACTTTTTGAAAGTGGTTGAAATCTTTTATGTACCAAGGAAGAGATAGTTTGTATATGGGCAATATCCTCCGATTCGAAATATTTCTATAAGATCGTAAAATTGCCTGTAAAATTTATATCATAACGTTAGAATTCAAAATTATTGATGATAAAATTTCGAAAAAAAAAAAAAATTTTACCCGTGAATATCGCCAACCTTTATAATTAGAATAGAAAATTAAGAAAATGTCAAAATTAATTTATTTTATATTTTTTTTAAAGAAATTTATCTTGAAAAAAAATTAAAAACACTTTCTACGGTGACGGGAGCCGAAATCGAAACGCAGTTGCTTTCGTTCATTAACAACTCTTTGGTTTTTTCACAAATTTCTTTGAGAAGAGTTTCTGCCAAAAGTTGTTTTTGAAGAAGCTGAGAAATGCAAGCATCCAAGTCTAAGCCCATCTTACGATCGAAAGTAATAAGGTTCGCTAAGGGTGTACAGAAGAAAGTTTAATTGAATGCTTGGAGAGCAAAACTCTGTAATTAAGCTTTTATGATAAAAAAAAAAAAAAAAAAAAATTTAACGTGCAGATCAATGAGCACAAAATTATTTTTTTATTGTAGACTCGCATAAATATCATCTAGTGCTTCGATAGTTAAATAATCATCATCGCTTAATTCTAAAGCGGATAAAGAATCCTGAACATATTCGATCTTTCTCATTCCAACTAAAACGCAACCAACTGCTTGATTTGCTAAATTAATTCGAAGTACTTTTACAGATAACGGAGAATGAAATTGTGCAGTTTCCGAAAATAACGAAGGACAGAGATACGAGATCATAGAATCAAGTTCATCGTTATTATTGAGCAAGTTAATTTGAGCGTATAAAATTATCGATTCTATAAGAGTTTGTGTATCCTAGTAATTAAAAGTATTTGTTAAATAGAATCTCTTGGGTAACATCAGTTGCAAACTTCAAATACAACAAACCATCTGATAAGCCATAATCCAATTTTGTAATCTACTTTTTTCTTCATTCAAGGCCTTGTTCTTAATATAATCCAATAATACTTCCAAGTCTTCTGTTATGGCAGGTTTAATTTGCTTTTCCAGATAATGTTTTGTAGCAAATTGATTTTGCGATAATCTTGACAAATTTTGTGATAATACTTGAGACCACATGAACTTTGCTAACAACGGATGCCCCAACGGAACTATTCGTTTTAAAATAATTTAGGTACTTTACATGTAACTTGTTTTTTAAATGCAAATACTTACGTAATCCATTTAATTCACTCTCTAATTGATCTATCCTTTGAAATCCATTTGTTAGATTGTCAATGATTTGACGTTCAGCTGTGATAAAATTGAATGTTGTGAGATTAATAAAAATCAAATATGAAACGAAAACGAAATAAATTGCATACATAAATTGCACTTGTTATTAACAAGTGTACGGATGGCTCCCCCGGAAATGGTATGTAGTGGGCGGTTGGTGAATATGAATATGTCATTCGACTAAAGTGTTTAAATAAAACATTAGATATAAATCTCATTATTTTTTTTTTTTTTTTTTTTTTTG